CCCTTTTTTACCGCCTTCGGCCCCGGAAGGGGGGGGGGGAGGACGTTCTATAAAGAAGACGAGGTGACGGTATTACACGGAGCGCGGTGAGAGTGTTGGCACGGTTCAGCCGTCAGGAGTTATAAACTCCTCTGATTAGCTATAAAGCCGGAGGGACGGCGCTCTCGCCAGCAGCGCGCGCCTGTGCGTTCCACTCCGGAGGTCCGCCAGCTACAAAAAAAAAACCAGACACAACAGAGAGACGAGAAATACTCACTTCCCCATCCACACGGCGTAGCTCTCCGGCAGTTTGGGCACGAAGAGGATGGACCTCCCCGTGTGCACGTCGATGGCGCCGTAGCAGCCCGCCTCCGACACTCCGAACGTCCAGTGAAAGAACGACTCCTGAGGAGGGGAAAAAAAACGTTTCCGTCAGTGTACAGGTTTATCATTATACCTCACAAGACAATACAATGACATCATAGGGTGTACAGTACATCTCCCATGGCAGCCAGCAGGGGGAGCCGCACCTTCTACGAGTCCCTATGGACCTCTCAGGTGTGAGTATAGCCCCGCCCATCAGTGGACTCCACATGTGGGAGGTCTGCAGGTTTATCATTATACATCACAAGACAATACAATGACATCATAGGGTGTAATAGAGGTTACCGGACCTGGTGGAAGAGGACGCCGGTGTCGGTACAGTATCGGTTGGCCTCCTCTCCCCCTTGCAGGAGCACGACGGCATCTTTGGCGACTTGGGAGTTGCTGCGCAGCCTGTCGCAGAGCCGCTTTCTGTTCAAGGCGAAGAGGGCGGCCGGCACCTTCAGCGTCTCCTTCCCCAGCCAGAAATATGATCTGCCCGAGAAAAAGAAAAGTTACCTCAGATAACGTCACACAACAGCCGGAGAATGAAAGCGGAGACTTCGCTCCTCATCGGGGTACCCGTGCAGCCGGTCCTCTCCCCTTCACCCGTGCAGCCGGTCCTCTCCCCTTCACCCGTGCAGCCGGTCCTCTCCCCTTCACCCGTGCAGCCGGTCCTCTCCCCTTCACCCGTGCAGCCGGTCCTCTCCCCTTCACTCGTGCTACTGGTACCCTCCCCTTTATCCATGCTACCGGTCCTCTCCCCTTCACCCGTGCCGCCGGTCCTCTCCCCTTCACCCGGGCTACCGGTCCTCTCCCCTTCACCCGTGCCGCCATTCCTCTTCCCTTCACCTGGGCTACCGGTCCTCTCCATTTCATCCATGCTACTGATCCTTCCCCCATGTTACCAGTCCTCTCCCCTTCACCCATTGTACACGTCATCCCCGCTTAATCCGTGCTACTATCCTCTTCCTTTCACCTGTGCTATATGTTGTCACCTCTTCGCCCGTGCCACCAGTTGCATGATTGTCCTTGTATAGTCTTTGCAGCACACCGTTGCCATCCTGAAGTCAGAGGGGCCTGTGATGGGTGTTATATAATGGCGGAGGAATGGAACCTTAACATGACCCCGAACACGGCTCCATGAAACCAAAGCCACCCATCATCATGTCAGCAAATGTCATCTAAGAAGTCCACATGGTGACATTTTGAAGTAATTTCGGTGGCTCTGATCACCTCCAGCGGGCTATAAGACATTCTCATCATCACCACTGCACTGTTTAGATGTGGACTATTTACACCCCCCTTTTTCCACAAGGATAACATGATGCAGAAGTCGCAGTGTGACTGACAGAGTGAAATATTTAATAAATATTGAGAATTAAATAATGGAAGTCGCAGAACGAGAAGAGAGCGATCCGCAGACGAGAAGAAAAGCTGAACTTTCAGCTCCAGAAAAACTCCGCGCGGTTTTCAGCGAAGGCGCGAGACGTCTTAATGCAGACGCGGCACAATCCCGGCAATAAAGCGTGGACATTGGCATTTTCCAGCTTTATTGATTCCCACCCAGGAATTCAATTAGTGACTTATTGAAAAACATCCTTAACACGTCCCTCCTGCTGCCAAGACACAATACAGCGCTCGCTGGCTGAAATGAAAACACGCGGCCGATATCACAGCGCGCCGAGAGGCCGAAAAAACACAAACCGCCGCAAGCAAAATAGACATAAAAGTATCACAGATGTGAGCGAGACATAAAGAGTAAAAGATCAGGCGCGTTCAAATAAGCGGTCACCGGACAAAGCGCACGCCAGCCACACGGCCTATCATGATACAGGAGCTGCCTATCGCATTGTTCTGATGAAGGCGAGTGCACTCGGGGGCCCATTATACTGAACACCTGCTGCCTTATAAACTCATGCTGTCTCCCAGCTTCTGAGTGTGCAGTTCTAAGGCCTCATTCACACGAGTATCATACATGAACGGGGGAGGGGCAAGACTGGTACAAGACAACAGAAGGGCAACAGTGCCGTGTCAGATTCCTCGCATCTCCTTTCACCATCTCGTGGAGTCACGAGGCGGCCCAACGAAGTACTGATGGGGGGGGTCATAATAATCTGGCCACTCAGTGTATATCAGATAGATATCACGTACTAATCACAGCTCCGTGCGCGGCCGTATCGGGCGGCTCCAGGGAAGGGCAGGTGCTGTGTGTGTGATTTATACGCAGCAGCCTGTCCTTCTCTATGGGAGTACGCGGCAGTACGCTCACCTGAACTGCACGTCCGTACGGGTGCGGGTGCCCCTACTTGGACGCAGACAGGATCCATCCTGTCAGAGTATGACTACGGACACCCGCACGGACGTGCAGGTTGGGTGAGCATAGGGGGGGCGTACTGCCGCGTACTCCCATAGAGAAGGACGGCGGCGGCTGCATACTAATCACACGCAGCACCTGCCCTTCCCGGGAGCTGCCCGATACGGCCGTGCACGCAGCACAGAATCTGTATGGGGCAGCCGTTACCCTTGTGAATGACGCCAATGCATTTCAGGGGGGGGGGGGGGCTGTACCTCCGCCCCCTTCATCATGGCTTGGAAAGAAAGAATGAACCAATGTATGAGGACTCGCTTCCCGGCCAATCAGCATGGATCAGCATGGATCAGCATGGATCAGCATGGAGCCGGCTGTTGGGCTCCATGCTAGTGTATGGCTGGCATCCAGCACTGCGATGGGCTGGTGGTGAGGAGCAGGAGAGAGAAGATGGACCTCTGAAGTTTGCATAATACATCCTCCCATTTTCAAGGCTTCCAGGCTCCTGGTGCTCCCTAAATGATATAGAGCAAGGATAGGCAAACTCTGGCCCCCCTCGCTGTGGTCAAAGTACAAATCCAACCATGCCTGTACCTCTGGGAGTCATGCCTGTGGCTGTCAGCTAGGGCTGCAACAACTAATCGACATAATCGATTATTGAAAAAGTTGTCAACTTTTTCAATAATCGATTAATCGGCTTCTGATCAGTTGGCCCTGTTCACGGCTCCACACACGCTGCGCGCCGCACCTCCTCCCCAACTCACGCTCACCGCTGCCAGACCCGCCCGCATCCACGCTCTATGCGCCGCACCTCCTTCCCGCCTCACACTCACCGCCCGCCCTGCTCCGGTTTATCTCCAGCGCTGCCCACCTGACCAAAGCCTGGCAGGTTGGCGGCAAGGTTGTCTCCGCCCCCTCCTTTGTCGCCAAGAGGCAGCCGCTGAATTAAAACAGGGATCACCTGAGGATAACGGTGACCAGCACCAGAGGGAGACCGCAGCATCACGTTCCCCAGGAACCTTGAATTCTGAGCACAGGTCGGGACTACACGGACTCATCAATATTTCCCCCTCTGTCATCAGTATTTTCCTTTGATTGCGCAGATCGTGCGGAGAAGGACGGCCACGGCCTATCAGCCGCAGGTGTCGTATTGCGCAATCAGCCCAGTTGCGCAATAGTTGCTTATTTTTTTTATACAACCACCAGGAATCATTTCTCCCCCGGCGTTCTCATGTCTAATACACTTGCATTAGATGTAATGACATCATCGGTAATTAGAGCCTGGGGAAGAAGAGGTGGCGGGGACTGGTCTAGTATACTGGTGGGACTGAGGATCAGGTGAGTATATCTTCTTTATTGTATCCCCCCCCTAGACCAAATTAACACTTAACTCTTGCAGCGTGCGTCTGGAGGGGGTAGATCTGTGCAGTAATCCGGTTTAAAACTTGGAGCTTCCTGTAATAAAGACCAGTCACTGCTGCTCTCTCTCCTTGTGCAGGGTGACTGGTCTTGTCTCCGCCCCCTCCTGTAATAAAGACCACTCACTGTTGCTCTCTCTCCTTGTGCAGGGTGACTGTGGGGAGGGGAAACGCATTGAGGAAAACGCATGTGCATTTTCAAACACCATGGTATGCACGGGCCCTTAAAGAAAGACAGACACTGGAAAAAATGAGGACGGACCCTTGACATTCTCACTAGTGATGTGGCTGGGCTTAGTGTAACACATCCCCCCCACCCACCCACTCCCACCAAAATTAGATTTATTTATTTTTTATCAGCTGACCAGTGTGAAGCTTTACTTCAACCCTTAATGCTTCCAATCAACAGTCCATCCACCCCCCCAAAAAACAACATGGCTGGCAATTGTGCCACACAGTGCCACCGTTATCATGTGGCAGCGCTTGGGACTTGCCTTTGGCCTTCAGGCAGTGCACGGGGGCTAGCATCACATGTCACCCCCCCAAACCTACCTAAAAGTGCTCCAATTGTAAACTAGGCAGCAGCAGGCAGGGTCATATAGGGCACAGAAGGTGTAGTTCTTATCTATGAGCAGTCATGACCATTTCTCCTTCAACATACACAATGGGAACGTTTAATATGTTATATAGTAAGTCACATGTAGCAGAAATGACAATATATATGATGTACACTATACATACAATGTAACAATGAATAGCATACAAGTAAACTGAATTTACTTTAGGGAAAGTACCTGCCCTACGTGCCCCTTGGGGTACAAGTAGCACGGTATGAGGTCCAATGCTGCACATATATCACCTCCATACACAGGAGCGATGTATGCACACACAGGACCTGATACCATACAAACAGACGTGTCATAAGATCCAGGCGCACCACAATCTATATGAAACTAAAAGTCCCAGCAAGCACTGTAGTCTATTCAGGCCAGCCGTGTCCCCTGCAAACGTCTGCAAAGGCACCACAAGTCCCAGCATGTCTCCTAAGGTCCCCTCCCCCTTTTCTTTCCCTGACACCCCAAGCACACTCACCCCTCTGCTGCAGACATGTTGCTAGCTGGACTTTGTCTGTCACATGACCTGCAGCCTGTCACCTGACCAGCCGTCTGCCGGAGAGGAAAGGGGCGGGGCGTTCCAAGCCTCGTTCCCGCGTCTCCTAGCAACCATTTATCATCAATGGGAGGCGAGCGAGGAGTGTTACAATGTATCCAGGAGAGAGACAACGCTGAACCTGAGATCATAGAGATAGATAATCATAGATAGATAGATAGATAGATAGATAGATAGATAGATAGATAGATGATGGATAGATAGATAGATGATGGATAGATAGATGGATGGATGGATAGATGATGGATAGATAGATAGATGGATGGATGGATAGATGATGGATAGATAATAGATAGATAGATAGAGATGGACGGATAGATAGATAGATGATTTTGCAATGAAGAACTCTGGGGAAAAATCAAAAACCTACCTTTGTAGCGGGACTGCTCCCGGCACTGCAAGGGTTAACTGCTCATTTTCTCTAAGGGGGGGTTCAAATAAAGCAGATTTAATCCCCTGATCTTTGGCTCCACCGGGCTGCTCGACGGGTCCCCGCAGCTTCTCCCCCGGGCTCCGGAGGTCTAAGCCCCGCTTACGTCATCCCATCTTATGCGGGTCCATTGACTTGCATTAGACATGAGGATGGTGAGGGACATTCCATAGCCAGAGCGGGGAGAGAGGTGGGCGCTGAGGGCCGCGGGACTGAGGATCAGGTGAGTATATCTGCTTTAACCCTTGCAGTGCGGGGTATATACGATCCATATACATTATCACTGTACCATTAGAAGTTACATTTCCCCCATGCAGGCCTGTAGGCCCCGCCCACCCCTCTCACCCTCCAATAAGTAGTTAGGATGCAGGCTCCCATGATCTCTATGATGCTTTGTGAGCACTCAGCGTCAATATTCACATTACTTCACTAATGTTCTGGCAGGTGAAACATTTCCTGCGCATTTAGCTTTTCCACTAGAGACAGCTAAAGAGAAAGATATATCTAAGCAAGTACCAGAGCTGGTGGTGTAGACAATATTACATGTGGTGGTGTCTTCAGGGCGGGGGGCCACAGGGGACATGACCCGGCTATATGTCATATTACAGAAGGAGGAAAGAGTGAACGAGGGATTTGATTCCAATAAACTAGCTATAGGGAGTGCAAAAATAAATAAACATTTTCATGTAAGGAAAAATAATTACATAAATATATTAAATACATAAATAACTAAGTAAATGATTTCATGTTGTTAAAAATAATAAATAAATAAAATACATAATTTCCTGCTGTTATTAAATCAAAAAAATGGAGAAAAAAATACACTATATTGCCAAAAGTATTGGGCCCCTCCCCCTCCCAATCATGTGATTCAGGTCCTCCAATCCCCGCCATGGCCCCCGGTGTATAGGATGAGGCACCTCGGCATGCAGACGCTTCTACAGACATTGGTGAGAGAACGGGTCGCTCTCAGGAGCTCAGTGACTACAAGCGTGGTACCGTGATAGGTTGTCACCTGTGCAATAAGTCCGTCCGTGACATTTCCCGGCTACTAAATATTCCGCCGTCACCTGTTACTGGGATTATAACAAAGTGGAAGCAACTGGGAACAACAGCAACTCAGCTAGGAAGTGGTCGGCCACGTCACATGACAGAGCGGGGTCAGCGCATGCTGAAGCGCACAGTGCGCAGAAGGCGCCAACTGTCTGCAGAGACAATACAGACCTCCAAACTCCATGCGGCCTTCAGATTGGCGCAACAACAGTGCGTAGAGAGCTTCATGGAGCGGTCAGGGGTTGGACCTGGCCCCTTAGTTCCAGTGAGGGGAACTCTTAAGGCATCAGCACACCAAGACATTTTGGACAATTTCATTCTCCCAACTTTGTGGGAGGAGTTTGGGAAAGCTCTCCTTTCTGTAAATGTTTCTCAACTCCTCCAGCCCCCAGTGACTGAAATATGTTAGGATATAAGCCCCTCAGATTAGAATAGAGATTGATTTGCTCATTATGCTGATTTCTCCGGCTTCTCCTCCCGGAGTTCTGCTTTAAATTTTCACTGAAGCCGGGGAAATATCTTCTCGCCAGAACAGTGTAATTTAAACTTAATTACTAAGGTGAGGTGCGCCTCGCTCTCTAATTGGCACATTCCTCATCCGCAGCCTCTCTCTCTCACACTTTATTGCAGCCCGTAAAAAAAAAAAAAAAGAAAAAAACTTTCTGGTCCAGAGACCCCAAGTGCTCCGATTTCCATCTCGGGATATTCCTTCCTAATGAATAAAGCAATTTCTGGAGCCCGGCTTCTCTCGCATTCCTTCCATGGAATGAGCATAGAATTATCTTCACTGGAGCGGGCGGCGTTTCCTGATATCCACGGCGGCATTCCTCTACAGGTCATTAGAGGTCATTACGCCTTCCTCGCTTCACGCGCCGCCCGCACGACGCCAATGCCGTACAATGAAGTCTAAATTCCATCTTTTCCACACAGAATTGGACATTTTTGGAAAAGTTATATTTTTTTAAGGCTGGTAATGATTACAATTTTCGTGTTCGGTTAATCGAATTTTTTTAAAATCGATTAACCGATTAATTTCGATGAATTATAACGCACATACAGATCCAACTACATTGGCCTATACACATACAGCACAGCAATGAAGTAATAGAATGAACTAGGATCACACTAATCCAGCACGTTATTAATCTCACGTGCCCCACCCAATATGGCCGCCGCTTGAGTGGGGCAACTCAGAATAATAACGTGCTGGATTAGTGTGATCCTAGTTCATGTTATTACTTCATTGCTTTGCTGTATGTGTATAGGCCAATGCCTTGGCTGGCGCTCGTGCAGAAAGTTTCTTGGGCAAACTCACCGGCCCAAGTGGCTCCGTCGGCTAACGAAGGGGGGAGGAGTCCGGTGACGTCACAGACATCGACGTCACCGGACTCCTCCCCCCTTCCCTTCGTTAGCCGTCACGGACATCGACGTCACCGGCGTCATTAGCGATCAAAACAATTTTAATCGATCAAAAAGTTTAACGATTAATCAAGAAATTAATCTTTCATTTCCACAGCCCCTAATTTTTTTCCATATTTGTCAAGTTTGAGTCTAACAAATGCCCCAGTTTTGGTGAAGAAGTCAAAGCAATAACTCCTCCCCCCACCCCTCCCCCAGGCAACTCAGGCCAATTTTGCTTTGTGGGGCAAAAACATTCTAATCCCACAAGGCAGTTCAATCAACTCAGCCTTCGTTAGAATATTATTATTATTAGTTATAAGGGGGTTATTCACTATGGAGCTGAAGGATCCAGCCGTAGCTTTCGGCTCTCTCCGGCCGCCTCTGACCTTCGGATCAGCCGGACCGAAGGGCTGCTGTACGGGCTATTCACAATAGCCGTAACAGCAGCCGAGGGCATCAAAGCCTCGCATATGCTTCGGCTCGACTGGAGAACCGGGCGCGGGCACTCTCCCGGCAAACGACAGCTGGGTGGAGCCAGCCGCGATCTCCCGGCTGGCTCCGCCCAGTTGTAATGACAGATCAGCGTTCTCAAACGATCTGGAGACTCTGATCTGTCATTAACCCCCCTGGCGGTATTCCCGAGTGTAGCTCGGGGTTACTTTTCCATACCGTAAGCGGTAACCCCGAGTTACAATAGGGAATGCCGCATAGCATTTACTTACCTTGTCCCTCGAGCCTCAGTGTGTTCCCCGGCCGATACCGGCAGCCGTCTTCCGGGTTCCGTCCCTTGCGAGCGTACGCGTCGCAGGGGGGCGGAACCGGCGGGATATTAAAACGAAAAATGACACGAAAGGAAGAAAAAAATCATACCGCCAGGTTAAACAATAACAACTGGGCGGAGCCAGCCGTGACGTCACAGCCAGCTCTGCCCAGTTGCTATTCATTGGCCGGGACCTGCTAGAAGACTCTGGCAGGTGGCGGTCAATAGGAAACAGTTGGGCGGAGCTAGCGGTCACTGCTAGCTCCACCCAATTGTTTTTTTTCTTTTCTTTAAAATATTTCTATTTTATTTTTAGTTTTCCTATTTTGTGTCATTTTTAAAATAATTTCCCAACCTTTTTATTTTTTTCACTCTTTTCACTTATTTTCTTATTTTACCTCAGAGATACCGAGCAGAATAGCCGAGCCGAATGGTGCTCGGCGGCATTCCGCTATTCACGCACGGCCGTTCGGCCCCTATGAGATTAGGGGGCGAACGGCAGCGAGTGAGCCGCCGGAACTTCGGCTCAGCCGTTCCAGATGTTGGATCGGCTGAGTCGAACTCCTTCTGCACTTCGGCTCAGCCAAACATGCAAAGCAAGCATGATCGGCTGACCGAAGGCAGCCGATGTACGGCTGATTTTAGCTGATGCATGGCTGAAATCAGCCACAGAGGACTGAAGTGAATAGCCGAACAGCATTCGGCTCACTTCACTTCGGCTGGGCTATTCTCTCGGCTGCCTGCGGCAGCTTTGTGTTTAACCCTGTATGTTATTATTCTTAAAGGAGAACTATGGGGTTAGGGCTTTTCCCCATAGTTCTCCTAAGGGTCACGGGAGAACACAAACTAGCGTCCTCCCGTCACCCAAAGCTCAGTATATAGGGAGCTACAGCTCGCGGTATACTGAGACGCCGCAGCCAGCACGGATCCTGACAATTATGTCTGGATCCGCCCAGCTGCGTGAGTGACAGCTGGCTCTGCCTATCTAGAGGCAGAGCCAGCTGTACCCGCCCCCTCCCCCGTCCGTTCCGCCACTCAGCGCTGGGGGATCGGACAGGGGTGGGGAGGAATCCCTGCAGATACAAAGAGACAGTCACGGCTCTCTCTTCTCGATCTTGCCGTGACAAGATCGAGAAGTGAGCAAACGCAGGTATGTGTTCACTCATTTCCCGATCTACTGAGCCGACCTGTGACAGTTTCATTGTCACAGGTCGGCTAGAACTATGAGGTGAGTGAAAAGCACTCCCCTCATAGTTCTCCTTTACTACTTTTTTTTGCTTGATTCTTTATTTTCTTTATAGCGCTTTTTCATTTCAGGTCAATACTACACTATGGCCACTAGGTGGAGCT